CAAGGAACCAACCAGGCGAGTTCCTGTCCTGAGGACGCGCAGGCAGGAGCTCAGAGACAGAAAGAAACACAGGCAGCGAGCATGCGCAGTCACAGGGCGGGCGCCGCACAGTGAAGTCACGGGCGCCGCCACCTGGGCAGGCGGCGACGGTATATGGCAGCGCCTGACCACCGCCGACGGGCCAACACCCGCAAGGCGGACCGACGCCCATCAGCGAACGGTGCGATAAGAGGACGGCGAGCCGCGCCAGCACAGCCCAACTCGTTGAAACTCCAGGCACTGACCGCGCAGCAAAATAAAAATAACCCCAACAAACGAAGTCTGCTGGAGCAGACGGTGTTCCTGCAGAATACTGGAAAGCAGTAGCCCAAACTCCCGGCGGCATCGAATGGCTCACGAAGTTATGCAACGCATGCTGGTCAGAGGAAGCTGTCCCTCACGCTTGACGGCGCTCATTGGTAAGCAATATCTCTATATATATATATATGTATACAAACAAAAGGCCCGTGCACATATGCGACAATTACAGACAAATCAGCACACTTTGCGTCGCCTACAAAATGGTGGCAAGTTCACTTCTAAAGCGATTGCAACATGCTGGTGCTGAAGACCGGCCCGATGCAACACAATTTGGCTTCTGCTGGGGGCGCGGCACGGCAGATGCAATACATCTGATACGAAGGCATGTAGAAGTATCAAACATAGGGCGCAATGGTGGCTCAACATTCGTCGCGCTGGATTAGAAGAAAGCCTTCGATTCAATTAATGCAGAGGCGATGCTCGCAGCTCTTGGAAGATTTGGTATCCCCACGCATTTTGGCAATTATGAAAAAAATGTATACTAACCGGAAGTCCTGTGTCACGGCTGGTGGGCAGAAGTCGAAAGAGAGCCCGCCACATTCTGGCATCGCGCAGGGATGCCCTCTGTCACCGCTCTTGTTCGTGATGGTGGTGACGGTGGTAATGTACGATGCGGTGGAAACGAACAATCAAAACTTTCGCTCAAAAGTGGTACTATATCAATTCTGTGGTACGCAGACGATACTTCGATCTATGGCAGAAATCAACCAAACGTCCAAAACTCGTTGAATGCGATCGCCACCACTGGGGGTCAAGTTGGCTTGGAGCTGCATTGGGATAAGTTTCAAGTTACGCACGTAAACAACAAGATGGTGTTATTTACGCCTCACGGTGACCAAATACATGCAAAAGGCAATTTAATAGACCTTGGGGCTACTATCTACAATACTGGGCACATTTACGCAGAATTGAACAAACGACTGGGGCAGGCTGGGGGGGAATTCTGTAGGCATGCGAAAGTATGGAAGCACACCTCAATCAGCATCAACAGGAAGCTACAGATATTCCAAGCGATGGTCACAAGCAAAGTCTTGTATTCCCTCTGCTCGGCATGGTTCAACAGAACCGAAAAACGACGATTGGACAGCATCCAAGCAAAATGCGCAGGAAAGTATTGAATATCCCCCGTACGTTCAGATCCGTAGTATCAAGCGAGTCCGTTCTGGAAAGAAGCCAGCAATTGCCTTACACATCGCAGATAGCGCAACAACAACTTCTGCGATTTGGGAAGATTGGCCGGAGCCTTGATTCTCATGCGCTGCGCGCGGCAACGTTTCGACCTGATGGCCTCAAGCCAGTTACGCTAATTTGCAAACGTGCGCGGGGGAGGCCAAAAAGAGAATGGGCAGCAGGATTGTTATCACTTAATTCTTCTTGTTTCCCTAGTTCAGAAGCTTTACTGGACCCTCTGCTAGACGACAAAAAATGGGACGCGTTCACAATCAAAGTTCCCAGGCCACTTGCATGCGGAGAAGACGAGTACCCATGATATGCATTGTATGGCTTGTGCGTCTTCGCATCAAAAAATACATTATCATCTTCCTCCTCCGCCTCCTCCTCGTCCTCCTTCCGCCATCTCGGCGCGCATTTGGCGCGTCCAGGCCACTTGGACACGCGTTTGGCGTGTAATCGTCTGTTCATCATCTTCCCCCCTCTTCCTTCCGCCCACTCGGCGCGCATTTGGCGCGTCCAGGCCAGGTAGGTGCGCGTTTAGCGCGCGCGCAATCATCTGCTTTCGCGCGCATTCGGCATGTCGCTCTAGTTTTCTTTGCCCACGCGCTTTTTGGCGCATGGCTGCTTCGTCCGTTGGCACAGAAACGGGCTCGGCAGCTGCTTGCGCAAACGCAGCGCCATCGCGGGCCGGCAGGGCACGCCGCGCGGCGTCGCGGCGGCAGCGGCGCGGCAACTTCTTCCGCCCCACCAGGCAGCGGCGCGCGCGGTGAACCCACCCCTCCGCGAAGCCATCATGACGTAAGAAAAGGATGGCCCCCTCGCCTGCTGCGCCAGCCAGCTTTCGAATGAGCTCCGCCAGCCAGGGCCGGCGAGCCGCGTGCTTTCGCCAGGCGCAGCATCCAAGCACTTGGGTGGTCCGACGGAGGGGACCGCCGCCCCCTCTAATGCCTTTGCAGCGAGGCGACGTTCCCAACCGCATTGGGCGACAACCATTCCACAAGCAGGGGCGCCGTGGAGATGCCGGCCCCGAGAATTATGGAATCGGCTGGAGCTTAGAACAGGCGCCTGGAGCCACGATCACAAGGGAGGGGCGCTGCACAGGATGGCCAGCCCCGCCCGAGCCAACGGCTTGCAGGCCACGCCCTCAAGCGAAAAACTTGCCGTTTCAGCCGCATGCAAGAGATCCAGAACACAGTGGCAGTCGACGGCCACCACGCGCACCAGTGGCGGCACAAAAGAAAGCTCGGCGTCGAGCAGCCCGACAAGGAGCGCGTGAGACCCCACTTGCGCGCAGCAATCCTCTTCGAGGCACAAAACACGCGCACCCCCCTCCCACGCAGGACTGCCATCTTGCCCACGCCGTGATTTCTGGCGGCCTTGGCACGGCGGCGGCAAGGCCCAGAAGCGGACTCGGGCGAGTCGGCCGCCACCAGTACAATAGCGCGGAACACGGGCGGGGGCGCGGCGTCATGACCTCGCCCCTGCACTGCAGTGACGAGCGGGCCTGGCCCCCAATCCCCCCCGGCACTGCTAACCGGTCTGCGTGGGCGCGGACCTCCAGACGGATCTCCACGCAACCTGCGCATCCGGGGCAGCCGCCTCGAGAAGGACCTGGACCGCCGACCCCACCTACCGGGGGGGCCGCCGCCGGGCCGCCTCGTCGCGAAGCGGCCGCCGGATCTGCGCCAGGCGACGCGCAGGGGCAGCAAATGGCGGGAGAGTGGCGCGGCAGCCCCCTACTAGAACCTCCCGCACGTCTGGCGCATCTATACGCTGAGGCCATATTTAAAAGCAACCCGAGAACCTTCGCCCTCGCGCAATGCCGAATGCCAACACAAGATACTAGACAAGCAACCGTGTAATCACACAGAGAACGCGTCAAGAGCCCACTTCAGGTCCATGCGAGAGCGCCGTTCCTGAGACCTCTGCGGGCTAGGGCCTCTGTGGGCGCGCTTGGGGCTTCTGTGGGCGGGCAGCGCGCTGGGGCCTCTGCGGGCGCGCTTGGGGCCTCCGCGGGCTGGGACCTGTAGGCACCCGGGCGCCTCTGTTGGCTGTGTCGGGAGCCTCAGTTGGCAGCGCGCTGGGGCTGGGCGCGCTTGGAGCCTCTGCGGGCTGAGGGCTGTGGGCTGCGTCGGGGCCCTCAGTGGACAGCTTGCCAGGGCCTCTGTGGGCGCGCTTGGGGCCTCTGCACGCCGGGGCCTCTGTGGGCGCGTTCGGGGCCTCTGTGGGCTGCGTCGGGCGCCTCAGTGGGCATCGCGCTGGGGCCTCTGCGGGCGCGCTTGGGGTCCTCAGTGGACTGGGGCCTCTGTGGGCGCCCTTGGGGCCTCTGTGGGCTGCGTTGGGAGGCCTCGGTGGGCAGCGCGCTGGGGCCTCTACGGGCGCGCTTGGAGCCTCTGTGGGCTGGGGCCTCTGTGGGCTGCGTCGGGGCCCTCCGTGGGCAGCGCGCTGAAGCCTCTGCGGGCGTGCTTGGGGCCTGTGGACTGCGTCGGAAGCCTCGGCGGGCAGCGCGCGGGGGCCTCCGTGGGCATGCTGGGGGACCCTGTAGGCTGGAGCCTCTGTGGGTGCGTTTGGGGCCTCAGTGGGCGTTGTCGGGGGCCTCAGTAGGCAGCGCGCCGGAGATTCCGCGGGCGCGCTTCGGGCCCGTGGGCTGAAGCCTAAGTGGGCAGCACGCGGGGGCCTCAGTGGGCAGCGCGGGGAAGCCTCTGTGGGCGCGCTTGGGGCTCTGCGGGCTAAGGCCTCTGTGGGCGCGCCGAGACCTCCGCGGGCTCTGCCGGAGGGTTTCAGCGGGCAGCGCGCGGCGGCCTCGACGCGCGTGGCGCCTCTGTAGGCAGGAGCCTCTGCGGGCGCGCGTGGGGCCTCTGCGAGCTGCGTCGGGGGACTCAATGGGCAGCGCGCGGGAGCCTCTGTGGGCGCGCTTGGGGCCCCTGCGGGCTGGGGCCTCGGGTCAAGCTCCAGGCTCAAGGCTCTAGCTCACGGCTCGCGGGGGGGGCGCGCGCAGGCAGGACCAGCATGGCGCCCTCTCAGCGGCGACGGGGCCCGCGCGCCGACACTCGGAGCATGGGGGGCGCTTCGGGCCAGGGGGGGCGCCGCGAGACCCCGAGCGCAAGGCAGAGGGCGACGCTAAGCAGGGCCAGAGGCAGAGCGGCAGAGGAGGAAGAGGCGGCAGCAGCGAAGGACAACCAGCAGCGCCGCCACCGCCACGACGGCGCCCACCAACGCCGCCACCACGACGGCAACCGCCAGCACAACCACGACGGCGACCAGCAGCACCAGCGGCAGCACCACCGCCACGACGAAGACGAGCACCAGCAGCAGCACCGCCACCAGCGGGGCAACGACGACGAGCACCAGCAACAGCAGCACAAGCATCGGCAACACGACTACGACTGCACCGGCACCACGACGCGACGGCCCGACCCTGGAAGACTTGACCCTCCTGGGGGTGGACACCGCCAGGGTCTGACCAGGAAGACCCTGCCCTAGAGAAGGCGGCGGCGCTGGTCAGGGCAGGCGGCCTCAGCAAAGTACGACAGTTGCTGGCGTCGCGCGGGCGAGCGCCAGGCACAGCCGAGACGCTGGCTGAGCTGCGGGGCCCCGCTCGGCGCCCACCCCTGCCCACAGCCGCGCTGCCGCCAGCTGCGCGCGCTTTCCGCCCAGCCCGCCCGGTCGAGCTAGACCGCCGCATCTGGACTGAGCGCGCCCGCTCTACGCCGAAGGGGTCTTCTGGCTCGCTAAGCGGCGCAAGCTTTGAGCTCCTCAAGTTGGCCTTGGACGAGGACGACACGCTCGAGCTTCAGGCTGCCGTGGCGGAGGTATACGCCCAGACAGAGATCCCAGTGAGCGTCGCCCGAGCCCTCGGCACTGGCCGCCTGACCGCGCTGCTGAAGGACAACGGCCGCGCGCGAGGGATAGTGGCAGCAGATGCCCTCCGCAGGATCTTCGCGAAGGCGCTCTCTCGGCAGTTCGGGGCCGAGATGGACGAAGCCTGCGCCCCTTTCCAGTACGCGCTGTCGACGCGAGCTGGTACAGACAGCGCGGCCCACTTCCTTCGCGCCGCCACTGACGCTGACACCGCCGCAACGATCGTGAGCATCGACGGCGCCGGTGCCTTCGACCACGTGCGCCGCACCCGTACGATCGAGAAGCTCCTGTCCTTACCTGGGGCCTCTGTCTTGGTTCCCTTTGTGTCGCTCTCGCACGGCCAGCCGCCCAGGTACTTGTGGACAGACGACGCAGGAGTTGCGCACGAGGTGACGCAGGGGGGTGGTGGAGAGCAGGGCGACCCGCTCATGCCAGCGCTGTATCCCTTGGCCCAACACGGCGCCCTGGAGATGGCGCGCGCGCGGCTGCAACCTGGAGAGAAGCTGCTTGCTTACCTCGAGGACGTCTACATCATATGCAGACCAGAGCGTGCCACTGCCGCTTTCGACGACGTCACACCCGCATGGCGGGAGTGGGCGGGCATCGAGGCGAACCTGGGCAAGTGCCGCAGGTGGAACCGAGGAGGTTTCGAACCAGAAGGGCACCAGGCGCTGGGCACAGACGAGTGGGTCGGCGGCGCCCGGACGCCAGAGGAGCACCGCGGCCCCAAGGTGCTCGGCACGCCCCTGGGCACGCCGGCGTTCGCAGCCAGGAAGACGCAAGAGCGGACAGACGAGAAACGCAGATTCCTTCAAGAGCTCCCACACTTGCCCGACCTTCAGTGTGCCTGGGCCCTCCTGCTGTACTGCGCTGAGCCACGGTGCAACCACGTGCTGCACACGCTGCCGCCATCCCTGTCGCGGCCTGACGCGGAGGGGCACGACCGCTCGCTCCAGGAAGCGCTGCGCGGCCTCCTTGACCTGGCCCCCACGCCGGCGGACGCAGAGAGACTCTTCCGCGTGAGATCGCTGCCGCTCGGCCTCGGCGGTCTCGGGCTGAGGTCAGCAGCGCGCACGACTGAATGTGCCTACTGGGCTTCGTGGACAGACGCGCTCCCCAGGCTGCGACACAGAAGCCTTCTAGCAGCAGCAAAGCTCACCGCCGCCCTCCGAACTAGGACAGGCGCCGCGGCCGAGTACACACTACAGGGACAACGTGTTCATGCCCAGCCTGACCAGGGCCAACCAGGCCATGCTAAAGTCAGGCTCAGGACCGAGGGCCGCCTACTGGCTACACACCTTGCCCACCACCGAGGGGCACGAATTCAAGCCCGCGCGGTTCCTGGCAGCCTTGCGCCGGCGCCTCAGGCTCCCGCTGCCGCTCCTCCCGCACACGTGCGGGGCAGCCAGCCACCCAGGCTGCCGGCCGGGCCCGGCTGGACCCGCTGGGAGACCACCTGGCCGCGTGCCCACGCACTGGGCTTCTCGCCAGACGCGCGAAACCGCTCGAACGAGCTTGGGCAAGGGTCGCCAGAGAAGCAGGAGGAAGAGTTGTCCCCCAACAGCTGATGCGGGACACTAACGCCGTTGTCCACAACCCGCTGGACCGCAGACAATTAGACCTAGTCGTCTACAACATCTCGCCGAACGGCGTCCCGCTGTGCTGCGACAGCACCATGGTGTCCCCCCTCCGCAGGGACGGCTGCCACCGGCCGCGCACCTTCGACACCGACGGCGCCGCACTACTTGTGGCCGAAAGGCGCAAACGACGCAGGTACCACGAACTCACGACCGGCCAATCAGGCCGCATCATGGTCCTCTCCTGCGAGGTCGGAGGCAGGTGGGGCCGCGACTCACTCCAGCTGGTACGCCTGCTTGCCAAGCAGAAGGCGCGGGCCGCGCCGGCCCTCCTCCGCCGCTCCGCGGAGCTCGCGTACACCAACCGCTGGTGGGGGTTCCTGAGCGTCGCGGCCCAGGACGCGCTCAAGGCCACCCTGACGGGCGACGGCTACCTAGCCTTAGGGGGAGCCGCCGGGGAGGACGACCCAGACCTGGCCGAAGTGCTGCTCGCAGACTCCGCCGGCCCACCCGCTAGCCGCCTGCCAGCACGCCCCTGATGCTTGGCACCGCGGCCAGCACGGCCACCCCGGGGGGCTCCGACGAGCACCGGGAGCACCCCCGACACGGCAGCAGGCACCACGAGGAGACCAGCAATACCACCACCACCACAACGGCGACCAGCAGCACCACCGCCTCGACTGCGACCCGCAGCAGAACCACCACCAACACCACCACCACGACAGCGACCCGCAGCACCACCACGACCACGACCAGGAGCACCACGACCGCGACCAGCAGCACGACGACTGCGACCAGCAGCAGCACTACCACGACTACGACCAGCAGCAGCACCACCACCACCACCACGACCAGCAGCACCACCAGCACCACCAGCACAAGCAGCACCACCACGACTGCGACCAGCAGCACCACCACGACGACGACCAGCACCACCACGACTACAACCAGCAGCAGCACCACCACGACGAGCAGCACCACCACCACGACAAGTAGCACCACCAGCACCACCACGACGGCGACCAGCAGCCCCACGACCGCGACCAGCAGCGCCACGACTGCGACCAGCAGCACCACGACTGCGACCAGCAGCAGCACCACCACGACTGCGACCAGCAGCGCTACCACCACGACTGCGACCCGCAGCACCACCACGACCACGACCACGACCAGCAGCACCACGACAGCGACCAGCAACACCACCACTGCAACCGGGAGCAGCAGCACCGAGACAGCGACCAGCAGCACCACCACGACCAGCACCACCAGCACAACCAGCACTACCACGACTGCGACCAGCAGCAGCACCACCACTACGACCAGCACCACCACCACCACGACCAGCACCACGACTGCGACCAGCAGCACGACAACTGCGACCAGCAGCAGCACTACCACGACAACGACCAGCAGCAGCACCACCACCACCACGACCAGCAGCACCACCAGCACCACTAGCACAAGCAGCACCACCACGACTGCGACCAGCAGCACCACCACGACTACGACCAGCACCGCCACGACTGCAACCAGCAGCAGCACCACAACGACCAGCAGCACCACCACCACGACCAGCAGCACCACCAGCACCACCACGACAGCGACCAGCAGCCCCACCACTACGACCAGCAGCACCACGACTGCGACCAGCAGCAGCACCACCACGACTGCGACCAGCAGCGCCACCACCACGACAGCGACCCGCAGCACCACCACGACCACGACCACGACCAGCAGCACCACGACCACCACGACCAGCAGCACCACCAGCACCACTAGCACAAGCAGCACCACCACGACTGCGACCAGCACCACCACCACGACTACGACCAGCACCGCCACGACTGCAACCAGCAGCAGCACCACAACGACCAGCAGCACCACCACCACGACCAGTAGCACCACCAGCACCACCACGACGGCGACCAGCAGCCCCACGACGCGACCAGCAGCGCCACGACTGCGACCAGCAGCACCACGACTGCGACCAGCAGCAGCACCACCACGACTGCGACCAGCAGCACCACCACCACGACAGCGACCCGCAGCACCACCACGACCACGACCAGGAGCACCACGACTGCGACCAGCAGCACGACGACTGCGACCAGCAGCAGCACCACCACGACTACGACCAGCAGCACCACCACCACCACGACCAGCAGCACCACCAGCACCACTAGCACAAGCAGCACCACCACGACTGCGACCAGCAGCACCACCACGACTACGACCAGCACCACCACGACTGCAACCAGCAGCAGCACCACAACGACCAGCAGCACCACCACCACGACCAGCAGCACCACCAGCACCACCACGACAGCGACCAGCAGCCCCACGACTGCGACCAGCAGCGCCACGACTGCGACCAGCAGCACCACGACTGCGACCAGCAGCAGCACCACCACGACTGCGACCAGCAGCACCACCACCACGACTGCGACCCGCAGCACCACCACGACCACGACCACGACCAGCAGCACCACGACAGCGACCAGCAGCACCACGACTGCAACCGGGAGCAGCAGTACCGAGACTGCGACCAGCAGCACCGCCACGACCAGCATCACCAGCACAACCAGCACTACCACTACCACGACTGCGACCAGCAGCACCACCACCACTACGACCAGCACCACCACGACTGCGACCAGCAGCAGCACCACAGAGACCAGCAGCACCACCACGACCAGCAGCACCACCAGCACCAACACGACGGCGACCAGCAGCCCCACGACTGTGACCAACAGCGCCACGACTGCGACCAGCAGCACCACGACTGCGACCAGCAGCAGCACCACCACGACAACGACCAGCAGTACCACCACCACGACCGCGACCCGCAGCACCACCACGACCACGACCAGCAGCACCACGACTGCGACCAGCAGCGCCACGACCGCAACCGGGAGCAGCAGCACCGAGACAGCGACCAGCAGCACCACCACGACGAGCTCCACCAGCACAACCAGCAATACCACGACTGCGACCTGCAGCACCACCACGACTACAACCAGCACCACCACGACTGCGACCAGCAGCAGCACCACCACGACCAGCAGAAGCACCACCTCGACCGCGACCAGCAGCACCACCACGACTGCTACCAGCAGCACTACGACTGCCACCAGCAACACCACGACCACGACCGGCAGCAGCACCACCACGACTGCCACCAGCAGCTCCACCACCACGACCAACAGCACCACCAGCACCACCAGCACAACCAGCACCACCACGACGGCGACCAGCAGCACCACCACTACTATGACTAGCTAGCACCACCACGACAAGCAGCACCACCACAACCGCGACCAGCAGCACCAACACGACTGCGACCAGCAGCACCACGACTG